CATTTTTATTAATAACTAATTATAACTTATTTGCGCATGCGCAGTAGCTGACTACTCATTCACTACTCGATACCATCGATAATGAGACTCAGACTACTTGGTATTGGTATCGATTCAAAATTTCTGGTATTGCCCACCTCTATAATTTAGTCTTTATGTGCCTAATAAAGAAAATATTACTGCCTTTATAAATTTTGCTCTCTAACAATTAGAACAATTGAATAATGATCATGACAAAATGTTTTATACCAAATTTCAATTTCTGATGCATGAAATAACAAAAATTTTGCCTAACAAAAATTACCCACAATACAGTATACATGTACATGTATTTTAATTATTAATTCCTTTATAGGTTTCCTGATAATACTAGACTAGTCAGTGCAGTGTATGCAATATCAACCAGTCCACTCCTCAAGTCACTGAAGATAAAAATGCAACACTGTATTGATCTCAATGATCCTTCTTTATCCAAGTATCTTAAATTTGCTGTTGCTCCAGTTCACACAGCTAGTCTTCCTTACCAGTTCTCACTAATTGAAGGAGGGGAGTTTCCAGCATACCAGAGATATGGATGGATTGAACGAAGCAAGTTCTGTCTTTTAGCTATTGTTGGGAAGGAAGACGAGGAAAATGGAGGAGGTAGGAATGAGGAGAGGAATGGAGAGGAAGATGGAGACTCAGGAGATGAGGGAGGGAAAGGAAAGGGACAGACAACAGGAGGAGAGGGACAAGGAGCTGGAAGAGAAGAAGGAGGAGCAGGAGAAGGAGCAGGAGGGGGAGTAGGAGCTGAGCGTCAGCAGCAAAAAGAAGAAGACAAAAGACAAGTAGATGGTCGATTAAGCCAAGAAAAGAACAATCATGAGAAAAAAGAGCATGATGATGAAGGAAGGGTAGGACAAAAATCATTACAGGAGAAAAAAGGTGAGCAGTATATTGAGGATCAGCCATGAGTTTCTGTTTCTGTTTCTTATAGTTGTACCTACTCATTCAACTGGTATTTGTGAAGCTACAATATATTATGGACAAGTGTTTTATGAACGAGCAGATAAAATGAGATTTGCAGCTGCTAAAGATTTGAATGCTCTAGTTCAGGTACGTGTAGCTATATTGTAATTAATGTTATTATCATTATTAAATTTATTGTGGTTTATTAAAAAAGAATATCATAAACTAGAAATTAGTGGTCAAGCTTTCAGTTTTAAATTTCATCCTTCTTTTGGATGCCTTGAGCTAGTGTTTGGTCCTCAGGATGAACCAATAACTGGTTGGACTGTTAGTCCAGAAATTGAACCTTGTCAGGTACATATGTGTATCATAAAAAGTTTGTTGTTTAATAACATGTTTAGATTAAAGAAAGAGAAATGAATAAATTTGGTTCCGAAATTAATAATACAATTCCTCCATCTTGTTTGGTATCAATTTATGCTGACAGCAGTCGTCCTGATACTGTTCATGTACTGAAGTATGCTATACCATTGAAAGGTTTACTGGAGCCAATGAAAATCAAAATTAACAGATCATTAAAGAAATTATTAGGTATTTTATGATATTATATCAATAACAATAATTATTTTGCCTATAGCTTATTCTGTTGGTACTAAGGATGGTCCTAATCCACAAAATGATATCAAGAAGCACCTGAATGATCTGAAACATTTCCTTTCAACTTCAGAAGCAATGTTTCGTGACATAGCTAATGGTTGTAAGGAGGAACGAGTTATTAAAGTGTAAGTGCAGTGATTTTTTAGGGTATTTATTTTATGGTCTTAATATGATTGCCTGACCATAATAATGTTGTCTTCCAACTCCCATTGTCTAAAAAAAATTATTCACTGAGATATGAGCCTTCAAAGATGCACTTTTTGCTTCCTGCCAATTTACTTCCTGTCCGTGGGTGTGGCTAAACGTGACGTCATAAGAGCATAGATATTAAATGACAGGGATTGGAAACGGAAGCGTGGGCATAGCCCAACCTCCATTCATTTGTATTGCTGCTAGGCTGACAGAGGCTCGTTGAAATTTTTTGTCACAATTTACCCTTGATTTTTTTTCTCTTAGAAACAATATCTCGCGAACAAGTGTTCCTATGCAAGTGGAATTAATGCATCAAGAAGCCTAATGTTTCCTCTTAATAATTCTGTTTTCTATTGTATAGATAATTTTACTATGTTCATGTTATGGCTCTTTTAAAACCATAAAATGTATTTTTTGTCATTATAATCCCTTTTTTGAAAACAAGCTAGAGTAAGATACAAGATCTTTATAATCATATAAAAGAGCTTTCATTTGCATATGGAATGATACTAGTTAGAGTTAGAATCCATGAAGCATGAGTTTGTTACAACAGAAAAAGGGCGAAAAATGAAAAAAATTTTGTTGTACCTATAACTCATTGCAAAATAGCGTTGTAGAAGTAAAAACCTTGCTGCAGGTAGTCCTAAACTTTCTATATGGAACGGTAGGTATATCATAAGTAAGCGTCCACTTGGATTTCATAAATATCCTTCGAAGTCCTTGCAGTACAGCCTCACTAATGGAGGAG